TGTTATGTACAAACAATGAATCATGGAACACTGCATCAAAAACTAATGATGTAATGTATGGTGGTTAACATAACAATAAAAAAATTATTATAAACTAAAAAAAATAAAATAAAAAAAATAAATTAACTTTCTTAATGTTATAGTAGGATTTACCATTTGATGGGAAACTACCATCTGACTGAACCATGGCACAATTATATATAATTACTGCATGGCCTTGGAAGATAAGCTTTATTGCCCCTAATTCGCTGCTGAGAATTCTGGGGCTCAGAAAGGAACTTTGAGTTGCTAAAATTTTCAAATTTTTGAGCCTATATTTGGGCAGTGGAGTATTTTCCTATTCCACTTTTTTTTCTACTATCTCTGTTTCTTATTCTAGTCAAGAATTGTCACACCACATTGGGATGGCTGTGTGAATCTTCCAGTCTTTTCCTATGCACTCTTCCAAATCCAAATCTAAAAATAAACAAACAAAAACCAAAGCACTACCTCTGGGTAGAGTCTACCGTTTGACATCAAATGGCAACATTACTTTCCCACTTAACAAGGTTCTTTGGCTATCACTTAGGTTTAAATAAATGGATATGCAAATATAGAAATGTAGTAATTTTTATTGGGTGGTAACTTCCCGCTAACTGTTTTGGCTTCATCATCTGTCAATTTCATGCCTTTCTCCAATATCAAAGTTCCTTATCAATGTAGTTAGTAGGTGATTTACCTCAGAGATAAAAGGCAGGGTAAATTAAACTAGTTGGACAGGTTATCAGAGAACCAAAATTACTACCAAAAAACTATGTATGACATTTCTAAAGAAAGATGGATACTCGTATTGAAGAATCAAATGGAGCTCAAAGACTGATTTATCAATGACAGAAGACAAGGAAGCATGGTAACAAAATGAAGTCCTAAACAGGCCATTACTAGAGAAAGAAAAGGGTTCACCTTTGCTGACAACATAAAACTTGGCTGCTGAGGATTTTTTTAAAAATAAAGACAAAGTACAATTTATTTATGATGAAATTTGTGACTTAGCAATCCTCAGATACCATTAGAGTCACCCATCTACTGGAAATATGATACCAGTACTTAGATCTCATTTGTACACTCCTAACAAAGATGTATATTTAAAACCACCTTTGGGCGCCTGGGTGGCTCAGTTGGTTAAGCGACTGCCTTCGGCTCAGGTCATGATCCTGGAGTCACAGGATGGAGCCCCGCATCAGGCTCCCTGCTCAGAGGGGAGTCTGCTTCTCCTTCTGACCCTCCTCCCTCTTGTGCTCTCTCTCTCTCATGCTCTCTCTCAAATACATAAATAAATAATCTTTAAAAAAATAAAAAATAAAACCACCTTTATTTTATGAGCTCATTCTTCAATATTCCAACTGCACACAACTCATAACACATCTTTCTCCTCATGTTATAATTTAACATTCAGGGTTCGGTCAAGATAAAAGATATCAGGGGCACCTGGGTGGCTCAGTCAGTTAAACGTCTGACTCTTGTTTTCAGATCAGGTCGTGATCTCAGGGTCATGGGACCGAGCTCCCAGTTGGGCTCCATTCTCAGCTTGGAGTCTGCTTAAGATTCTCTCCCTTTGCCCCTCTGTCCACTCACGTTCTCTCTCTCTCTTAAATAAATAAATAAATAGAAAAAAAGAAATCAAGCTAATTATTTTAATAAAGAGAATTGAGTGTAGTTAATTGGTTAAATAGCTACCACAGGACAAAGCATAAAATGGAACAATGTGGTGACAGATGGAAGCCAATAAATACCAAGGGCTTAGGGGTTTAGAGGGAGTAGTGAACTTTACTTAATTTTAGAGTGTAAAGACATTTGCTGACCATTATTAAAAATATTCAACAACTCTTAACTATAGAGAACAAACCGAGGGTTACTGGGGGGGAGGTGAGCAGGGGGATGGGTTAAATGGGTATTAAGGAGGGCACTTGTGATGAGCATTGATGAATCACTAAATTCTACACCTGAAATTAATATTATATAACTAACTGGAATTTAAGTAAAAATTTGAATAAAGAAAAAAAATATATATATATGTAACAAGAAAGCCAGAGGGAAAATAAAGCAGTGATTTCAAGAGACTCACCCTAGCATTACAAGGTAAGTATAGAAAAGTGAATTTGGAGCAGAGAGACTTAACCAGCACAGACGAAAAGTGTGTTGGAGGACAATGTATTTGAAGAAAACATTTAAAAAAAAAATTGCCTGGAGCTACAATAAGTTTTTTCATAACCTACCTTTTCAAGCTTGATCTCTTTAGGAACTCACAACTAAACTGTCTTGGGTGTTTTTTAAAAATTCTCATACCTAGACACATACCTGTGCAACTAAATCAGAATCTCTGGTGATGAGACCCAGTCATCATTATTTATAAGACTCCTCAGGAAATTCTAACAAAATCCATGGTTAAGGACCAGTAAATGGCATCTGTAGACATTACCTGAATAAACAGTTTTAAGAGATGCAAAATTTGTATGGAAAATACACAGAAATCATGGAAAAGGATATACATTTTAAATATATGAAAAGAGAGTTATAGGAGTACCTAGGTGGCTCAGTTGGTTGAGCATTCAACTCTTGGTTTCTGTTCAGGTCATGGTCTCAGGATCGTGGGATCGAGCCCTGTAACAGGCTCCAAATTCAGCGGGGAGTCTGCTTGAGATTCTCTTCCTCTCCTTCTCCCTGGGCCCCTCCTCCCCCTCCCCAATAAATAAATAAATCTTAAAGAGAGAGAGAGAGTGTTCTACATTTCACCTGGATACCAGGGTCATTGAGGAGAACCTCTCATGCATTCATTATGATGTACAAAGCATCCCAGAATACTCCCCCAATCCAATTAAAAACAAATAAAAAAAGTAATATTCATATATGAAACATGAAGAGAAATGAAAACCATGATATTGAAAAAAATTGTGACCAAGAAAGAAGTATGGTCTGGTCTATATGTTTGGTTTTGCCAATTTTTTTCAACCCACACTTCAAAAAGGATTGCACACATACTGAGATTAGCCTGTTCTTCTGAGGAACCTCCATAGGGCACTCTTGATATCCCTGTTTCTCAGGCTGTAAATGAAGGGGTTCAGCATGGGAGTGACTATGGTATACACAACCGAGGCCACCATATCCTTCCTGGGGGAAGGCAACAATGCTGATCCAAGGTACACTCCAATAGCAGTTCCATAAAATAAGCAAACAACTGACAGGTGGGAGCCACAGGTAGAGAAGGCTTTGTACTTCCCACCTGTGGATGGGACTCTCAGAATGGAGGAAACAATTTTATAGTAAGAGAAAAAGATCCCTGAGATGGGGAGAAAGCCAGAGATGGCACCAACAAAATACATGACTATGTTATTGGTGAAAGTGTCAGGACAGGCAAGATTCAGGAGTTGAGAAGGGTCGCAGAAAAAATTAGAAATTTCCATATCCTTGAAGCAGGTAAGTTGTAACACAATCAAATTGTGCAGCTGGGAGTCCAAAAGGCTAACAAAAAAAGACAACAAAACTAAGAAGCCACAGAGGTGGGGGTTCATGATGACTGAGTAGTGTAGAGGGTGACAGATGGCCACAAACCGGTCATACGCCATCACAGTCAGAAGCATACCATCCATACATCCAAAAAGGATCAAAAAGGACATCTGAGTCAGGCAACCCATATAGGAGATGGCTCTGCTCTGAATTTGGATGTCCACGATCATCTTGGGGATTGTGGAAGAAGTGAAACCGATGTCAGCCAAGGACAGGCTGGAAAGGAAGAAGTACATGGGGGTGTGGAGGTGGGAGTCCAAGCTGACAACCAGGATGATGAGCAGGTTCCCCAGCATGGTGACCAGATACATGGACAGGAACAGCCCAAAGAGAAGGGGCTGCAGTTCTGGATCATCTGAGAGTCCCGTGAGGAAGAATTCTGAGACCCTTGTTAGATTTTGTGGTTCTATGTAGCTTGGGCACCTTCTGAAAAAGAAAAGAGGGTTGGAAAAGTGAATCAAGTAAATGGGCAGTCAGCACTGTGTCCCTATTGCGTATTCAAGCAATTCACAAGTAAAATATTCACACTTGGGGCCATACCCTCCAGTGCGTTCAGCAATATTTCTGTGTCTCAAATCCAATTTTCTTAGAGCTGTTTCCTCATTGGTTTCTGTGTTATTCACACCTCTCTATACACACTTTAAAGACACTCAACTGAAGAATGTTAGAGGAGCAAGAACATTTAGAGATAAATGATAAATCCATGATCACCACAAAATACTCTTAAAGAAACATACCGAATAAGAAACATTCTTCTCCCTTTAAGGAAAAAAATCATTCTAATTGAAGGACACTTAGAAGCAGCCTTATTTTATTCAAATAAGTGCAAGAAATTCCCTTTAGAATATTGATAAACTGTATAATTGCTAGAACTACATTATTGACATTCTAAATTAAAATAAAATGTTTGGGGCACCTGGGTGGTTCAGTCATTAAGCATCTGCCTTTGGCTCAGGTCGTGGTCCCAGGGTCCTGGGATGGAGCCCTGCATCGGGCTCCCTGCTCGGTGGGAAGCCTGCTTCTCCCTCTCCCACTCCCCCTGCTTGTGTTCCCTCTCTCACTGTGTCTCTCTCTGTCAAATAAATAAGTAAAATCTTTAAAAAAAAATAAGATAATAAAATAAAATAAAATAATATGTTTATAATCAGAAAGATTTTTTTAACATGTTAATTATCTTCAGGGGTTTTCATCACTCTGTTTTTCGGCATCTCTCCTCCATGGAAATACATGCTCACTCAAATATGTGGGTTGTTTTTTTAAAGTCTTTTCAAATATATCTCTTAACTATGACCTAATAGACTTCAAATTTTGATAAGTATGTTTTGGTTAAATGCACAAAATCATGCAGTGTCAGTGACCCCGTAGATGACATTCGTGTATGATGCAGCTGTGGATCATTAAACAATAACTTTTAAAAAATACTTTCTTCCTATCTCTCAGTTTATGCAGGATTAAATATCAACCCTACACAATCTCTGGGAAATTGACACTGGTGTTTGACACTCTCTTTGGGGTTTTGTTTTGTTTTGTTTTGTTTTTGGTCTCTATTTTGTAGTGCTTTGGTATTGGTAAAAGTGCTTACATGTATTTCCAATCCTAAACATTTGGAAGTGCTGCGTCCTCATGAAATCCAACTCTCTAATTATAGAGAGGAATTTAGGAGCTTACAAGACCCCCAAACCAGGTCTGAAATCCAACCTTCTTGTGCTTCCTTAACTTCAATCTTTACTGAAACAGGGAGAATTCTCCTTAATTCATTCTTTTGAAAATTAATTCCCTTTAAGAGTCTGGGGGTTGTTTGTCTTTTTTTGTTTGTTCATTTCTTTTTTTTCTTAAATTCCACATATGAGTGAAATCATATGGTATTTGTCTTTCTCTGACTTATTTTGCTTAGCATAATACCCTCTAGGTCCATCCATGTTGTTGAAAATAAATAAATAAATACGTAAATAAATAATAAATTCAATTCTCCTTAAATACAGTTATTTTTTTTTAAGATTTTATTTTTAAGCAATCTCCACATCAACCAAACCCATGACCCCGAGATCAAGAGTCGCACACTCCACCAACTAACCCGGTCAGGTGCCCCTAAATACAATTATTTTTAAATCAATTCCCTGAAGGCAACTCTGATATTCATTTCCCTTGACAGGTCACACTATGATTAAATTTAGAGAAAAATGCAAAAGAGAGAAGTAAAAGATGAACATAACAAACACGTGGGGAGTTTCTACATCGGTAAAATGGAGATAACAACTGAACTTACCTTATTGGAGTGTTTGGAGAAATTAAATAAAACATAAAGTGCTCAGACCCGTGGTTCTCAATCCTAGTTGATTATTATACTTACCCGTTAATGTTGTAAGATGTACTGATGTCCTGTGCACTGCCTAGAGCCAATTAAATAATAATCTCTACATGCACGATTCTTGGTGGTCCTAATGTAGAGCTAGGGTCAAGAACAATGCCTTAAAATATTGCTGGGCACTTCGAATATGTTCAATGAATATTACCTATTATTATTATAATGAATACCCAATAGCTATATTAAAATATAAGCATTTACTAATATTTGCTTCCAAACTCATATTTTATAGAGATTTGAAATATTACTGATAAAGTTTTAGCTTTCTTTAAATCCCTACATGATCCCATTGCCCTGCACACCTGTCCCCCAAAGCAATCACTGTCATTAATTAGGTGAGTATATTTTCTCCTGGTGTTTCCATAATGTTATTATTTATGTATTTACAAAGCATCGTCTTGAAAATTTACCTAAATAGTATATTACTAGGCACACTGCATATAAAGTGTTCTTGTTTACTACAACATTGTGTTTAAATCTAGATATAACACTTTAAGTGATACATAGTATTAACTGAGGAATTAACTTCATTTTGTTTATCAATGCCTTATTTCAACAACCCTATGAAAATCCTTTTGCCTTTCTGCATATCATGAAGATGAGAATTTCCATATGACATCAGCATGGAGGACATTGTGTTATAAAAATCAATGCAAGTTCAATTTCACTACTTATTGCCTACATTTGTTTTCCCAGTAGAAAAATTAGTTGCTATCAACTACATGCTATTATTAAAGTATAGAATCAGAATATTTCTCAAGTATCTAGTAATAGTCATTCTGTGATAGCTCCATATAAAAATTCCCATCTTACATAGGGAATAATATTTCCATATCTTGGATTTTCAGACTGGGCTGTAAAGTGCGTTACTATTCATGGGAACTTCTATGATCCACCATGTTACTGCCATAAGTGCTCCTGAAAATTACTGGTCCAGTACCCTAATTCACAGGAATACATGTAAATCCCTCAACCTGTCTGTGCTGGCCTCACTTCTCTGGAAATCAAAAGGTAAACAGCCATCTCCAGAGATGTATGGCATCTAAAGTTCCATCTAAAGTGGAACTTAATAAATATTTGGGCATTGTTTTGTAACGAGAATTTGTTTTTTTGCTTTTTTTTTTTTAAAGATTTTATTTATTTATTTATTTATTGAGAGAGAGGGAAGAAGGTCAGAGGGAGAAGCAGACTCCCCGTTGAGCAGGGAGCCCGATGCGGGACTCGATCCCAGGACTCCAGGATCATGACCTGAGCCGAAGGCAGTCGCTTAACCAACTGAGCCATCCAGGCGCCCTGTTTTTTTGCTTTTTTTTTAAGGTTTTACTTATCTATTTGAGGGAGAGAGAGCACAAGGGGGGAGGGGCAGAGGAATTGGGAGAAGCAGACTCCCTGCTGAGCAGGGAGCCCTGATCAGAGGCTCGAGGCTCAATCCCAGCACGTTGGGATCAGGACCTGAGCCCAAGACAGAAGTTTCACTGATGGAGCCACCCGCACGCCCCAGTAACCAGAATTTGAATCATTATTGTACTTGTGGGTTTACTGATGAAATGCAATCCTAAGAAAGTTTTAATAACCTTTTATTGGGTTATATGGCAGAGAATCTAGAGGCTCTCTTGTCTCAGGGCACTGGAAATCCTAAAAGGTGTCTAAGCCTACACAGTAAAATTTATCTTCCCCTTCTCATTCTGCCTTTTCTTTTTCATACTTACGAAAATCACTGTGATGATTTTTGAATAACTGAATGTTGTAGACGTTATTAAATAGAAAATAATAGAGGGCTTCCTGGTGGCTTAGTTAGTTTAAGTGTTTGACTCTTGATCCCAGGCTCGGGTCTTGATTTCAGGGTCATGAGTTCAAGCCCCGTGTTGGGCAACATGCTGGGCATGGAGCCTACTTTAAAAAAAAAAAAAAAAAAGATCCTATTGAATGTTTATGACATAGATACAAACAAGTGGTATTTTATATGATCTCTTGTCCCTAAAATGGATGAAGGCACAGGCAGGAAAGCATTCATGTGTACAAGCCATATTGACTATGCTTTGTTCCTGTGACTCAAAGAAGGGTCTATTCAATATTTAACATATTTGGGGGTTTTGTTGTGGTGGTTGCCTACTCTGTGCCAAAGACGATATAAGCTCTGGGGAATCAGAAATGAATGTGATTCAGTCATTTCCTTCCAAGCACTCAGTACGTAACTTGTATAGGGATAAAAATTAAATTTTTTGTCAGAAAGCCATTGAAAACCAAACAATCGGGGCACCCAAGTGGCTCAGTCGTTAAGCGTCTGCCTTCGGCTCAGGTCATGATCCCAGGTCCTGGGATTGAATCCCGCATCGGGCTCCCTGCTCCACGGGAAGCCTGCCTCTCCCTTTCCCACTCCCCCTGCTTGTGTTCCCTCTCTCGCTGTGTCTCTCTCTGTCAAATAAATAAATAAAATCTTAAAAAAAAAGAAAGAAAGAAAACCAAACAATCAAATCACAGGATATTTTGGTTGAAGGGTATAAAAGTTGGTATTAACAATATTAATCAATATTATCAATAATAATATCTAAATTTTTTTCCTTACTGTAGGCATCCATCACGTATTTAACCACATTGGTAGTATTCATATCTACTTAGTCCTTACCTAGTGGAATGGTATCAACTAAGAATCAATTCAGATGACAATTTTGAGGCTCAGAGATACTAAGAAATTGCTCCAGCTCACTAGATAATAAGTAGAGAAGATAGGACTTAAAATTATATTGTGGATCTGAGGCACATGCAGTTAATTTCTTTACTGTTAAAATTCAGAAATTTTAAAGCAGAGATCCATAGGTCTTAACCAATAGCACATCTATTGTACATCTTTTAATAGTTTCTGGTTTCCTGAGTGTGGGTAGAACCTGAGACATTGACATTGTGTCTCCCTTTGAAATGGAGAAGGACTAAC